CCCCCGGCTCTCCCGCTTATGGCTCGGGTCAATGATCCTATTTCTCCCCGGGTTGCCAACTCCCCTTGGCTCTTAATGCCTGGGTCGCTCCTGGCCCCGTGTGCTCCCCAGTAGGGTAAGCCCAGTCAGCTTCACTGGGTATGATCCCCCCGAGCCCCCCAGGGCTGAGGCCAACTTGCAGGAGAAGGCGAGAGAGGTGGTGAAAGATGTCTGGAGAGCAATCAGTATATAGTATGTATAGCATAATGATACAGGAAGCTTGTTCTTGTAGCATATTTTCATTCATTCATTCACATTTATCTACTTTAGTTTGTGTTTATTCTGTTTTTGCTGTAAACCGCCCAGTGTCAGGCTGCACCGAGATGGGCGGGGACAAATCTGAAATGCAAATAAATATAAATAAAAATAAAACATGTTAACTATGCTTTGTTTTAATTAAAGGGAGAGGAAACGAAGGCAAGTGTCCTTTTAGACATCTTCGGGGACCGAGGTGCCTGGCTCGCCCACCGAGAGTCAAGAGTGACCCCTGGCCAGGGGGACATTGCCCCCCACCCCGAGGCCTTGCTTCCTTGCCAAGGAAGGCTCGCTCGGTAGATAATTCGGGGAGGGGGGACTCCCTAAACGAGGGTGCCAGGCCTGCGAAGAGCCTTTGGGGAAGCGTTTGCCCGCGTGGCTGCTTTTTCCCCGCTGCCCTCGGTTATTATCCAAAGCCCTTTATGCAAAGCGGGAGGCAATCCACTCTAATGGGCAATTAGGCTGCGCTTGGGGCTCAGCAAAATGCGCTTTCAGTCAATGGCCGCTCCAGCCATCTTTGTTGGCACAGGGACGGCGAGCGAGCCGGAGTTCAGACCTACTTTGGGAGAGGTTAGATGGGAGCCGGGCAGAAGCTTTTTGCTCCATTAAGCTAGCCTCCCCTGGCTCGCGGGGGCCAAAGACACAAAACCAAACCAAAAAGAAACCACAAAGCAGAAACTCCCCCCTCCCAAAAAAACCTGGAAAACAGCCATAGATGGGTTGGAACAATGCAGCTGTGAATTTCTGCACCCTTCTGCATCCATCGGACCCATCTGTTTAATAAATGTCCCCCAACCGCTTTAGCTTTTCTTCCATGAAGGACACCAATCCTCTGCAGCCGTGTTTCTCAACCTTGGCGACTTGAAGAGGTATGGACTTCAACTTCCAGAATTCCCCAGCCAGCCTT